GGCTCCTCTGCTCACATTGATAAATTCATATGGGATTAAAGGTGGCAATAAGGACAGTGACACTGCATAACCCAAAAGTTGTAAGGACTGGAGAGCCACCTTGCTGCCAGACACTGAACATTCACTGCACTGAAAAAGAAGCAGCTAGTATGGAAAAATATCATCTGACCATAAGACAGAAGCTCTAAGACAAAAACACAGATGTATTTGGCTATATTATGGCAGCAGAAGCTCCTTAAGTTTTTAGTCTAACTCTTGTTTTTCTTGACTGAGCCATCAGCATTTTTAAGAAAACTAACAAATGCAACAGATTTTTTAAAAAATATTATTTTCAGTAATTCAAACAGATTTTGTTTTGGTTTCCCTTCAGCTGAAAAGAGGCATTCAACTGAACCTGAGGATGAGCTACCCATTGAATATCTGTTTTCTCACAAATTATGTTGCCACCAGATTTTACATTAGAATTTAGGGAAGCAAAATCACCACTGTAATGAAAAGTATCAGTGCAAGTAGAGAGCCTTATAGGAAGATTGTGGTAAAATATACACTAAATTCTAACAACTCTCTCACTTGCAGTACGTAACTTCTAACCCAGTAGCCACTTCCAGGAAATCAAAACAACCACTCAATAAAAGCAGTTCAGACTGATAAGATGAATGAAATTATTCAGTAGAATTTAAGGGATAGGATTTCCCTTCTCCCATCCTAGGTAGGATATCATTTGCAGACTTTCAGCAGTTTTCTCTCAAAGCTCTTCTGAAAGATGGCAGATTCATTTTTTATGGATACTTTTTCCATTTCTCAAATGAATATACAAAAAGGAAGTACTTCATCTGTGTCAAATTTGTATACTGTTATCCAACTAAAACTGACAAAAGAGGTTTGGTTCTAATAAAACAATGTGATGTAACACAAAAAAAAAGAACACAAAAAAGAAAAACAGTACATACAGTACATAGCATCTGACCCAAAGCTTACTAAAGTCAGTAGGAACCTTCAGAGCCTTCCCAAACTAAAATACAAAGCAGTTGCATAAGCCAGGAAACACAGTACATTCTTGTAACATTATTAAGAAATTTTATCCTTAAATAAAACAAAACCAAAACCAAACAAATACAAAGGAAAGCCTCTACAATAAAACATACTAAATTCAGCTGCTCACTCCAACTGACTGTGATCATTTTATGCTACAAATCTCCAGCAATGGCTAAAACATATGGGGGAAAGCATAAACAAAGCACGTAGAATCATAGAATCATAGAGTGGTTTGGGTTGGAAAGGACCTTAAGATCATCTAGTTCCAACCCCCCTGCCATGGGCAGGGACATGTCACACTAAGCCATGTTTCCCAAGGCTCTGTCCAAATGACACTTCTGCTACACACTTGCAGCTCTCAGCACTTCACTGTGGAAATCCTGCACCAAAAAGCTTGTCTTGATCCCCCCATTTAATATTCACCAATGAAACCATACTTCGTTGTACAGTCAGTGTATCTTTTTTGCTCCCCTCCACAATTCAGGCCTCCTCAGCATCTCATACTCAGTGCAAGTTCTACAATTTCCTCCTTCACTGAAAAAAACCCCAAACCCTCCATGTTAAACTCTGCCCTGGGAACACTTCACATACGACAAACAAAAATAGTTGTTTTCTATTAAACTTTTTATGCTAATTGTGTTCTAGCGTACCAGCTGTCTTCCCCCCCCACCAGGCTGAAGACATGTTGCTTACTTAAGTTACTTCAAATGGCCACCATTCTATGCCTCTGACTACAGGGTATGCTGTACAAGCTTGGGAAGCACTGAAGCTATGGGTATCATATATGTTTCAGAGGTCCTAAATTCCCTTTTTCCACAGTTTCCAAAATTCCATTTCTCCTTTTTATCACATCAGCACTCAGGTGATCTTTGCAGACTCTCACTGGCTCTCAAAACAAGCAGTAACAGCCTCTTGTGGCAGATGCACAGTTACGGCTTCACGATTACCATAATTTTGCATTTATTGATCCTGGCTTTCATCTGAATTTATTGCCTCAGTACCTATGGTGGGACCTCTTTCTCTTTCTTTGAGAGGTCTATAGTATAATCTCCTGTGTCTGAGCGAGACATCTTAATAACTTTTATACCCATGTCTTTCAGACGGCATTCAAAATAGGACAGATGACTCATGCCACTAAAACATGTACATGTCTCCAGCAACTCTATAAAGTAAGTCTTAAGAATCAGTTCAGGTACAAGTTTCAGTGTTAGAAAAATCCCAGCTTTCTATTCTGAAATTCTACAATTTAGAATGACCTCTATTTCTGACAGCCCTGAATAATTATGTTATTAACCCACTGGCAACCCCCTTTTTATAATAAAAAATAACTATTTACTCCTGCCCTCCGTTTTCTTATTAAAGTTTGCCATTATACATGCCATCTTCTGTTCCTCAGGATGAATAAAGATTACATTCAGCAGTTCATGTCACATCTGACTTCTTTCAGACAACTTGAGGAGGAAGACCATTCAGTTTTAGTCATCTGCTACTATTCATCCCAAATTCAAGTTTCTTTTAAAAATAATTTTACTGTCACTGTTAACTTGAGATAGCTTTTTTACTTTTTCCCTGTAAATAATGACTCATGCAAAAGAATCTCTCTGACCTCATTTATAGAAGATATTAACACAAATAGTTCATTAGTTCTTCTTGCATGCACTTATTTTACCTAAATGCTCTAATTACACCTTGATCAGGTTTTTTCAAGCACATTCCTGCAGGCTTCTTGCTTCCAATGAGTTTAACTCCTAGTTCTATGCTTTTAGCAAACTCAACATAATTACTTAAAGCAGTTCCCTCAAGATCATCTTTCTATCGTTCTTACAAAAGCTTACTTCTAACCCTGCAAGGCTCACATGCTTTTCCATTCTCCTTACTTGGACATGACAAGTACTTTTTAAATAATGTTTGGGTTCTGAACTTTATTTTATTTTTAACTTACAGAAACTCTTCATTCTTCTGTTCATTCACTCTTCAATTTATTTTTAAACAATTAAATAAAGTTTTAGCCTGTTTTGGGAGGGTGTCCACCGCCTTAGAATGTTTTCACCAGCGTCATACATGTGCAATTAGCACTGAGCACTGAACGTGCTCTAAAAGTCAAACATTATTTCCAGTTTAAAGAAGCTTGGAATCAGCAAACAACATGATTACACAAATAATACTTTTTCACAAAGTTTAGAAATTTCAGGGGCAAGCCAAATACATAAATGCACACATTTCTCAAAAAAGCCCAAACGGCCTTCCATTTCAGTCTGAAAAATCCAAGCAAACAAATATTTCTCTTTTTGAGAACACTCTCCACTGTGTATTCACAGGGGCACAGCAAACATTTGCTACTGCCAAATTCATGAACCTCAAATAAGCCTGGTTTTATTTTCACGTCTCTGAAAAGAATCAGAGCACAAAAAGCAAGCAGTAAACTGCTCAGTGGAAGCAGCCACATGAAAACATCAGACCAAACACAGGACAAATTGAGCACATTAATACTGATTTGAGAAAGACACATCAACATTGATTTAAAAACTCACCTTCAATACCCAGCTTTTTTAATTTTTTAATTCCATTCCACTTATGTTTTAATCTTGACATTCATACACAAACACACACCCCAACCACCATTTTTCATGGAAATTACCTCTTCTAATGAAAATAATTAAAGAAGACAAGACAATATGAGATGAGTCAGGTCCTCGAGAAAATGGCAACCATTTCTCTTTGTTATGCTTATTATCCTACGATGTGGACAGTACAAAATTTTATTGTGCCCTTATATTTTCATTTACTTGTAAATGTTTGCATGACAGATATGCAAGTTAATTCTAGTTAATAGTTTGCACTATTACACATGTCTTGAAGCAAAGTTTCATGTGTTTGGACACTTTTTTTTGGAAAGCAGGAAATAAAAAACTGCTAAGAAGATATGTTTATTTAATTGCACCCCAAGGGCATCATTTTTTTGAGTATGCCAGTGAATGAGAACATCTCCTAAAAGCAGCTGAATGAGAAGATGCATAAACCACACTAAATTCTGATAATCTCTACAGAAGAATTTCCTGCCACATGGTTTATAGCATCAGATTAGATATTTTTTACTGAGCACTATCATGGCTTTCCCGATTGTTTTAAGTATTGCCTAAGGCGGGAAAAAAACAAACCAACCAAAACCTACTTTCCAGGACCCTGTCTGCCTTCTAAATAAATGGAAGCAACTAATTCTGTCTGTGATGATACTAATTCCATGCTAACAAGCTTTTTTGAAACCTGCTCAGCAGTGCACAAAAGGCTGGAACAGTAAACCTAGTAAAATTTGAAGCACGCTAGAGAAACTGTGTGTTGTAGCTATTGGAAATCATCTCTGTCAAACACTTCCATATCAAGCACAGAAAGTATCTTTTATGACCCAGTTTGGACGACAGAAATTAGCAATTCCATTTGCACTGCAGTATCTGTTCGTGAGTTGTACCCTCTTTTAAGTGGAATCAGTCATGGAACCATAATGTATAAATGGATGGCCTGTGAGCATAAATTATCTCATTAGCCAGGAAATCCGGGTGGAATTTCAGGTAGTTTGCTTCAAATCTCATTGATTCTTATAACTTCTAGATGGAAGAGATATTCTACACACTAAGAAAATGTTTCTTGTATTTGTAACTAATTTGGGGAAAACCTGCTTTGTTGAGCATAAATAACCTATTAATGTACAACGCAGTCTAGGAGTGGTCACCTGATCAGCGTGAAATTCTACACGCAGAAAAACAGCACAACCACCTCTATGAAGGTGCATGTGGATTGCCACCACCAATAACATCTACCAGGACCATCTTACAATACTTGATTATTACTCAAGACAATCAGAATTCTCAACCAAAAGCAATATACCTAGAGCACTGAGGCCTCATGTCCTCCCTGACATTTCTAGTAATAAAATGCTTAATTAAAAAGCCACATACATGACACCTTACCTTTGATGCCATGCGCAAGAACAGTGAGTTTTGATCCTCTGCTGTCCTCATCTTCTCATTTTTGACCAAATCCTTCAGGTTCACACTATCATCATCCTGAAAATACCTTACTCTTTCTTTATCTACATGAGTAGGGATCTGGAAACAAACATATTGAAAATAAACATGAACCTAGTGAGAATGACCAACTATAAAATTCAGATCCTAATAATTTCAAGAAGTTTAAAGAATCACGAATCAAGCTAAGCACATCTGAAACAATTGGGTTTGCTGTTTCATTTCACCTAAGGAAAAGAACATTTCTCCCTTCCTTCAGTTGCATCAGTACATTGAAATAAAAATATAGCCTCTTCCTACAATTGCTATATCTACTATATCCTTAAGCTATCAGACCTACATTACCATTCAGGAAAGATGAAAACGAACAAAGGAAAGTGAAACAGTTGATCAGCTCACAAAAAAGGGACTATTCCAAAAAGTAATCTTCATTATTTACAGCTTTTGAACTGTCAAGTCACAGACACTACTGAAACATAGCGATCACAGTACTGAAAACTTGATAAATGGGGTGCCTCTGCTGGGAAATGTTGTCATCTTGGAGTGTGCAAGAGAACAGAGTTTGTCCTTTAGAGCAGGACTAAATTAAATCCTGATGGAGCATAGGCAATGGTCATTAACATAAAACAAGACGGCATTTTCCAAAATGGAAAACAATAGGAGGCTGGAAAGCTATTCCTTACCCTCTTGTGCCTTTCACTCCTCCATAGTAGTGTTACAAACTGATCTGTCCTGCTAATCAAGAACATACTTGCTAGAAATACGAGGTATTGGTATCTCCTCGTACCCCAAGAAGATTGAAATATTAGATTATTTACTGTTGCAAGCAAACATTGTTTCAGTCTTCGAGCTTCTCACTGTTCCCCAAAACACTGTTACAAAGATTAGGTAATAATTTTTATTATCAGCAGTAGCAGTATTTTTGATCAGAACTAAATAAAAGCAAAAGAAAACTAGCCCCTGAGACTTGAGTATGTCAATAAAATCTTATTTTGGAAATATTTACCTTTGCTGATCTTTATTATTTACATAACTTTATGTAATAGAAACTCCTTGGCTAAGAGACTGCAATAACCTGAAAAACTTACTTTTTCTTGAATGTGCATTTTAATAAGTCCTAAAGTGATCCCTAGGGAAATACAGTCTGAAAATAAACTTAATATATGCTTAATAAATATGTACTCTAACACTTAATTACAATCATCTTCTGAAAGGAACTTTTTAACTACCTACTGACATTCTGATAAGACACTCATATTACTCATCATAAAAGTAAACCTACAAAATCATTTCAGAATTACACTTCAATACATTTGTAAAACTTACCATCTGTCGCTTTCTCCGGCCTCCTTTGGGCTCCTGTGGTTCAGCCGGTGCGGTCACAGGCCATGCCCTTCCACTTTGATCTGTTCTGACAAGGACCACTTGTTCTTCTTGACAGCTTGAAGGCTGTGCCAGGTTTTAAGACATATTTTAAATGAGTTGACACAGGCAAAACCAAAAGAAACACCTAATCCACAATAAATTAAATATTTAAAATTCTAAAGATTAAATAACAGATTCTTTAAATTTTGTGTGTTCATTATAATTCAAAGCAGACACTATTACCTCACACAAGGTACCTTCTCCACATTCAAAAAGAACAGAATATTAAACATATATTCAGCTAGTTAAGTGCAGAGTTAAACAATCCTCTCCTAAAAGAACCAAGTTTGTATTCTTGGTACTTTATCATAAAGCTTCATCCCCAGAAGAAATACAATGCTTCTGAAGACTCGAACAGGTAATATTGAATTAATATACACTGCCACCATTATAACAGGATATTCCTGAAAACCATTGGAAATCTACAGCAAGTTACCACTTCTGGGCTTTTTGTGGTTTGGGGGTGTTCAGTTGGGTTTTGTGTGGTTTTGGTGTGCTTTTTTCCTTTCAAAACTTGGTTAACAAACTAAACATTAGCTATAGATTTTCAACACATTCCTTTAGATCTGACTTTTATTTCCTACACGGCACCTACCACTGACACAGATCACTTTCATCACAATGTAATAATGAAAATATTTTAATCTTGATTATAGGGTATGCAGAATAGGAAATACAAACAGCTCAACAAGTATCTCTCTCTATGGTGAAGAAGAAAGATGAGTAGATGTACATTGGTTATTTAGGTCTAATTAAATTACAGACTGAGGCAGAAGTAACAACATTTAAATCATCTGTTCATGTGCTGAAATATATGGAAACAAAACCAAGCATTTACCTGATATATGCCAAATAAGTAATTTGCCTTTAGATGGCAAACACATCCAGTCTCACATAAACTACACTTGTACTTAGTTACTGCTTCTACATATCAAAAGAAATATGGGAATCATTAGGAGGGTATCTTCTAAACTTGACTAAACCAATCTCTTGAGGTGCTGGAGATGTAAGAGGCATACTCAGGGCAAGGCAACAAGGAAGGCTTTCACACACCTACCCTTGGTCCTCTCGATAGAATAGAACCACCAGTTCAATTGCAAGAAGAACAGCACACTAGGGCACAAGCAATCCAGATTTCGAATGCATTGAGGACAAGTACTGACACAAATGCTGAACAAACTTGGCTAGGAATGTTGCTCTACTGAATTTTCCACTTGTAAATTTTAAAAACAGCCTAATCAGGCCCATGGAAGTCAGCAGCTGCCTTGGCTGCAGCAACCATGAGATAGTGAAGCTTAAGATTCTAAGGGAAACGAGGAAGACAAGTAACAGAGCAAAGAAAAACCCCTGGATTATAGGAAAATGGTCTTCAGCTTCTTCAGCGATCTGCTTGGCCTGATCTCATGAGGGATGGTAGAGAGCTGTTTGATCTTCAAGGACAAATTCTAATGAAGCTCAAAAACAAAATGGAAGCTTCCCGAAGGTGGAACCTGAGACAAGTTACCCAGGAGGACGACTTTAATGAGACAAACAGCACTAAATGTACATTTTGCCATCTTATAACTGGTGTAAGAGTTCAAAAATTCTAAACAGGAGCCACCTGATCCAGAATTAGTGTGATCAGTCAACTGAATCCTTTGTCTGATGTCTACCTTTTATTTAAACTGAATAAAGACCAACAGTAAACTAATGATAAATGGTGTCATTTTCCTTATTTTCCTTTCATTATCCCTGTCAGCATTCTGATTTTTTTTTTTTTATTTTTTTTTCTTGCAATACTGGCATTCACAAAGCACCATGTCCCAGCACCCAAACTCAGAGGACAGGACCCAGAACTAGTCCTCTTTGTCTGAGTTTTTTAAACTTTCATTTCAAACTTGAAGGCAGATCACTACTGAAGAGGCATCATAAGATCCATGTCACAACTTTCACAGGGATGCTATCATAAAAAACTGCATGTCCATTCTGCATTATGCTCCCAATCTCTATTTGAGCTGAAGGGTGGGGAAGAAAACCACACCCACAAAACCCCCTGACAGCTATGACTGACAGTTCCTCTGAGATGATATTACAAAGATGAAAAACAGAACAGCTGTGAATATATTAAAAGCTGGGTATCAGAAAGAAAGAAGTTCACAGCATGGTCGTTACCTGTAGACATAGATACAGAAGGTCAACGTGAAAACTCCCGGTAATGTTGATTTTTCTTTATCAGAACCCAAGAAGCAAGCTGCCAATTGCCTGACTTCAATTCAATCTGTCAGCCAGTGACAGGTGAATAGATAGTAAAATCATCGTCACTCATGTGAGCACAGAGAAGACCCCTCAGTTTCCTTGTACAATAGGGTGCTGCGCTAAGCACCCTTATCCCTTTGTTTTTTCCTTGGTTGACTTCGTTCAGATCCAGTGCTCATTAACACTCCTGAGTTTGTTAAAAAGGACTGCAGCCACAGATTCATTTCAGAAAAATATACCCTTTTGTAAAAATATTCTGTAGGAACATCATCCACTCATTTAACTTCAATGCAGCTCAGGAAGATTACAAGTCTATCTCCCATGACTTCTCTACCCACCAAGCAGAGGAAGCAGAAGGAGGCCTAGAACAGCTGTACAGCAGGAGTGAAGAAGAGACATGGAAGACTCATTAAGCCAGACAGAATTTATCAGCATGTATGAAAATAGAGCATTATCATATAGCTCAGTGATGAAGGCACTCCCATGGATTCCAATCCTTCACACAAAACACGAGGGAGTAGAATTAATATATCCATTTCCCAAATGACTGCTTGAATACTTCATTAAACCTTACATCTCAACTATTGCAAACTTCATTTCTAGGTACTTAGAGTTGCAGCTTACCATATTGTTACCAGTGAAGTACTCAAGTGCCATGGTCTGTTCCATATCACTACCTTTATGTGCCCAGCCCGCATTCATCAGCAGATGAAGTTATTATGCCCTGAAAGTGTATCTTCATCTGCTCCCACCAACTACCTTCTCATTTGGAATGGAATTTACTACCTTTCAGCTTTCAAGCTGACAGACATCCATTCAGATGATGGATGCCCTGTCAAGAGCCATGTCACCTCAGCTCCCTCCAAAACAGGGACAACAGTACATTCCCACTTATTCTGACTTAAATATACATACATACGCCCCACACCCAAAAAGAAATACTTTAAAAAGGCAGAAATTCTTCACCAGAAAAAATAAGTATTTAACTTTCTAAAAGAATATATTTTTTAAAAGGAAAAAAAAAACTAAAGCATTTAAAAAGCCTGAGAGCTTCCTGATTGCACTACAAAGATGTTCAGGTAAATCAGATGACTAAATTAGAGCAAATAATGGGGACATCACTCAATCTAGAGATACTAGAACAGCCTTTGTTAAATCTTATAAACAACTTTATTAATCTCAATTTGAAGCTATTTTTCACCAAACGACTGATGTCTGCTTTACATCTGGTACCCTTACCAAATGAAAGCTTGTCTCAGAAACCCCAATGAAGGCTAGGAATTCTGTAGATACTGAAATATGCTAGCTTCAACAGCTTAATTACATTTTTGCATAAAAAGTCACATGAACATAGAAGTTATGGACCAAAAAGCTGTCTAGGTAAGCCAAACTTCTCTCTTCTGTATCACCAAAGGCAAAACTCATTTTGCAAAGCAAACCAAGATGGTCAACATGGTCTGGCTCCAATATGACAATGGTATTTTCAGAGAATTCACATACAACACTACTTCCTTTTTTCTGCAGTCACCAGATACGTGCCTCAGATGTTAGTTTTGCACACTATAAGGTGTTTTCTCTCTATTGAGAGGGTGTGCAGAGGTGATTCATTGCAACATGAGAAAAAAGCTGTATGCTTCTACCCCACTCTTGCCATGCGCTAAAGGTCAAACCTGGCTAGAGATGCAGACAGCCACAGAGGGGGATGACTGTGTTTTCATGTTATCACTGTGCTCCTCACAGGTGTGAGACCTAGTTATCACCACAGCATTAAAAGCACTATTAATCTGAAAACATCACAACAACAAAAACCTCAATCGGCATGAGATGAGCAAAGAGGAAAACAGGTTGCAGAAAAGAATACAATATGAGCAAAAAGATTGCACAGAACATTTTTAAATGGGATATACATGCAAATGGAGTATTCTGGATATAACAACAAAGAGGTAATCAATGCAAGTTGCTAAGAAACTGATTATTTCTTTTGGCATGTGAAAAAAACCAACCAAACAAACAGAATAGGTAGACTTATGTGAAAACTGTAATGCTTAAATACCTGTGACTTAGCAAGGCCCAGTGATGTGACAGACAGTAGAAACAATTTTAAAGGTTGAAGGAGCTGGGGAAGAGGAAAGTCAAAGCAGCAGCAAAGTGTTGAAAACCAGAAGGCGGGGAGGTGGGCGAGGACGGGACAGGTGGGAATGTTTCCCAAGGAGTACTTCACTTGACAGTAAGAAACTTGCCCATATGCAAGGCTGGGTTGAAATAAGTGCAAAACGTTGTTTGAAATGGTGGGAAAGTGTGAGGTATGTGTGAAGTATGGGTAAGTGGGAATGCTGAGGCACTGGCACAGGTTGCCCAGAGAAGTTGTGGCTGCCCCATCCCTGGCAGTGTTCAAGGCCAGGTTAGATGGGGCTTGGAGCAACCTGGCCAAGTGTGAGATGTCCCTGCCCCTGGCATGGGCATTGTAACTAGATAATCTTTAAGGTCCCTTCCAACCCAAACCATTCCAGGATTCTATGATTCTATGAAAAGACAAATATAGTCACAGGCTAAATATTTTAGACTTAACACAAGATAATCACGTAGAGGAAAACCATAAACAGAGCAGTACAAAAAGGTAGAAATGGGGAATATTTTTTTAAATTTATACACAGCAGATAGGGAAAGCAAAAATGAGGTTAACATCAACAGCATATATCACAGGAAACATGGCAAATGACCTACTTCTTTGAAAACTTGGATAACTCCAGAAGTTTGGATGCTGAAAATATAACCACAGCTATTGCAGT